TGTAGCTGTATTAGACTTCCAACTTGTAATTAAAGTGTGCTCAAAGTTAAGGCCAGGAAGCATAGTATTTGGATTACAGGAGCAACTCAAATTAATACAGTGTGGGAATGCAGCCGTTTTCTTTAACTGCTGATCCATCTGGAAAAGCTTCCAAGATGTTAGACAAATAATGCCTGAGACATAAATCAATTGGACATTAGCGTGTCAAATGACACACTCTGAAACTAAACTAGCTGTACAAATGTTCCCCCAAACAACTTTTCTGGTTTAAATGGATTTTAATAGGACATACCTTAGGGTGGGTTTGGATCCAATTTTGAAAATAATTTTCAGATCTAGGGGCTGCATTTCCCATTAAACACTCAATTACCCTCTTCTAACAGATGATGTGTAAACACTGATCATTTGTAATCAAAAGTTGCAGGGTACAAAAAAGCCAGAAAAATATTACCCAACATCAGGCATATTAGCATCTGTTCAACATCCCGTTTCAGTTTGTCATGCCACATTCTTTATTCCAAGCACACTATGAAAACATCAGCCAATTCACTTAGTACTTTATTCCCTGTAAGAAGAACTTTCTGTATGACTGTTATGACCAGGCTCCTACACATGTGGGGAGCCTGGTTCAACATGTTGGAAATCTAGCGCATCAGGGCAGACTTGATTAATCAAGTCTGCTGGAGCATGGACATTAACGTGCTCCAGCAGCCTTGCGCGTCACATATATCAGCACCTCTGCACTGACAAAGTGGTGGCAGTGTGCTTTGAAATAAAACACAGCCAGTGAGCTTCAGTTCAAAGTGCATCACGACCATTTTTTCAGCACAGGGACATGTGGCAAGGCTCATAAACGTGATGCATGGGCACTTTTAATTAGCACGGCTTGCTAATTAAAGCACCCAGTGCCACATTGGAATCACATATAAAAAATGCCCTCTGATTGCAGAAGATGAGTTTTGAAATCCATATGGAATTTCTGGGCTTCCTTTGTGTTTGTGAAAAAATAGCATCCTACAAACATTTATGTAGAGAAAATCAAGCTGCATCTCATCCACATGAATGGAAGCAGAAGTTGCTGTTGTTGGCTTAGAAACAGTATTTAAAGGCCTAGTTTTTGGGGAATTAGTTTATAGGTATAGAGATATGCATTATAAGGGGTCAAGGTAGGCAGCAGGGGCTAAATGGATTTCTAAAGAGCTTGGGAGACGCGCACACAGCTTCTCATGGCCCTGAAAGCTGATGGGCTGTCTAGCACAACAAGGCCAATGGATGGATGCAGCCTGAGAATTAAGCGGGGCATCCCATAACATGAGATCACGGCCTTCAAAGCAGACAGGTTACCTAACACAACAAGGACACACAGCCTGGGAACCAAAGAAGTATGTACCATACTGTCCCATAACACAAGATAAGTGACACCAGCAACAAGGCCTCAAAGAGCAGGGGGGTCTAAGTTCCAGTTTGTGGGGAACAGACTAAATTAGGAGAAGGCCCAGAAAGCTCCGTGGGCATGTGACCACAGAGAGACAACCAACCAGAGGCAGCCACGGATGAGAGTCATCAAAGGAGAATACAAAAGCAGAGACTTAAGAGTAACAAAGGGTCCCCTCCCTTTGTCCCATCTCTCTCTGTCCCTTTGTCCATTCCTCCCTCCTTGTCCCTCCTTCTCTTCCTTGACAGGGGTTCCCATCCCCATCCCCTGGAAAGGGTCCTTGGGGCCACCCTGGACCAAGGGCATACCAGCAGCCCGTCTCATGCACCCCACTGGAGGGGGGCTGTGGGCCTTGGCATCCCAACTCCAGACTGCTGACATCTAAGAGAAAGAGCCTCAGAGTTGAGCCTGCATCCCGGCCAGAGGTACTTTGACTCTGATGACAACCCTAGGATTGGTAGATAGTTTGATTGTTTGCATTGTTGCTTTTTGTTTTTACTCTGTATCAATACATTCACCTATTATCAACTGTCAGGTGTTGTGGTCAGTCTGAGGGTTGTGCCTGCCCAGAACAAAGGTACAGATGCTGGGTCCAATTCCAGTGTGAACAGCTGTGGTTACACATATGACAATGGATTGCAAAATCTTGACCTCTGAGCTCCTACTTAAGAGATGCCATTTTTCAGAACAAGTTCATATTTTTTTAAACTTACAGAGAAAAAGGCTCATGCAACTCAGTATTTATTCTCCCATTTAAATAAATGGATTAATGCTGAAACAAGCCAAATAACTGCTAAAAATGAACATGAAATCAAGCACCAGTGTAAAATTTGACACTTTTTAAAATCAAGGTATGGTTCTGATCTGGAGTCCAGAGTTGAATGGGATACATTTGTTGCTGCTGTGGAGCGACAAGTAGAGACAGGGACGAGATCATATCCAACAAAAGGTGAATTATTTCCAAACCTCCACAGTCCTATTTAGCACGAGGAATTAAAAGCTAAAGCAAGACATGTCCTGCACCTCGAGCAGCAAGCAGGGGTGTCAAACTTGCTTGGCCAAATCCAGACAGTGGGGTTTCCTGTGGGATTGGACAACATGTGATTGGCAATGGCAAACTGAAACCGGATGTTGGATGGATGCTTATGTGCCTGATATTGGGTAATATTTTTCTGGCTTTTTTGTATCCCTGCAGCTCCCACAGCCACTGGTTTCACTGCAGCTGCAACACCTAGGGAGTTAACACCACTGCTGCTCCTCTCCCCCTTTTCCTCTGCAACCAATTTTAGTGTCCAGGGGTGACTAGAAACCCACATTTTGGTGGTGGGTAAGAAGAATGGGGGGAGGCAAATGCTGTTAACTACCTAGGTTCCAGAGCCACAGCTCCAGCAGCTGAAGAGGATCAACAATGCTTCCGCAAGGGCTCTGGCAGCTGTTGCAATGATACTCACAAGCCAAATCTGACATGTGGAGGGTCACAGCAGGTATTAATCAAGGACCACAACTTCAGGCCAAGGGTTGAAGTATTGTGGTGTGAGAGGAAGGTAGATCAGAGCCAAGAGGTAGGAACAGATTTTGGGTAGGGACAGTTTTGAGTCAGCTAGAGCAAACAAGAACACAGCAGGAACAAGGCAAAGATCCAAGGAGCACACACGCAAGCACTATTGCTGGGACAAGTTCCATAGGAAATGGAAGGAGTTTCATAGTCCTCCTGTCAGGTGCCTGCAGTTCTCCCTGGTCACTTGACTTCTCATTATCATCCTCATGGGAGGAACCAGGCTGGGCTGGGGCTGGTGTCCGATTAGTTCTGCGGTGCCACTGAGGACCTAGCCTCAATCTGCAACCCAGCCATCCTGGATCTGAATCCTTATGGTCCTAATACTCTGGGCTAGAGAGAGTGTAACCTCTTTTGCATTAGTCTAGGAAGAACTTAACAGGCAGATTGGGCCTGTTTCTGGTGAGCTTCAGCTGAATTTTGTTGAGATGAAGGGTACACATTCTCATTCAACTTGCGAGTTTTTAACTGAACAGTTGGCAAAGGCCTGGCCTTGCCTAGTTGGTCAGATCTATTTCTGATTCATCATTTACAGAAGGCCCCCTAGAGACTATGGTAAACCGTTACAAAATGCAATGCCTACTATGCTTAAACACATTAAAACAGCAAATACCAGAGCAGCGGATCATTCTACACAGGGAAAGGTGTTAGCTACCCTAATATGGCTGAAGTTGAACTTTGGTAATTACAGCATCAATGTTCCCATCATAACATCTACTTGCATGTTCTTCTGGATTGGGAAATCCTCTTCTATTATGTGCTACTTGGTTGGGTAGGGGCAAATACCATATTTACCCAAATCTAAGATAACCCTGAATTTAAGATGACCCGCCCAAATAATTAGACACTAGACATAGAAAATTATAAATTTGTTTTAACTTTGCATGTCTAAAATCTAGTTACTTGAGGGCCCTCTTAAATTCATCCCTTCCACCACTGCCACAGGGAAATCAATGGCTGGAGGGCAGACAGCTTGCCCTGTGCCCCTTTTCCTGCCCCACTCCCCCTTGCCACTTGCCTCCTGTGCCTGCTCCCCTGCCAGCCATCCTCCCTGAGTGCTTTTCCCCCTCTTACCACGTGTCCCCTTCTTGTGCCTGCCCCCCAACCACTTAATTTTGCGGGTGCTTTTTTTCTGGCTCCACTGGAAGCACGAAGCATCAGTCTGGGCCAGGCAGCAGTAGTGGCTCTAAGGGCATCCTCCAGCCCCAGTTGGGGTCAGGGCTGGAGCAGCTCCCCCTGCCATTCTGCATGCCCATTCCACTACTCTTATAGTTGAATGAGTATGGCAGCTGTTACACCAGTAGTGGTAAAAGTGATCTAATGTGTAGTTATATCATACAATTGATAAAGCTGAAGTAGTTTGGGATCTTCTTAGACAAAAGTAAAAAATAAACATCACCTTACTTAGAAATCCTCCAGACACTGGATTTTAACCTGCCTGATCAATATTTAGCAGGAGTAGCAGCTAAGAAAATGAACACTGTTAACATGAATGAAAATTGAGTATGTATGGAAAGATATTGGGTGGTGCCTGAAGAGCTATCAGGCATATGTCATATTAAAGCAACAGCTAAGAAGACTAGATAAATTGGTACTAGCACCAAGCTAAGACACCAGTGAATTGGGCAGAACACCGTGAAAATACAGACTAAATAGTGAAGTAACTGAAATGTATAAAACAAAGGACATGGAAGGTCCAAAAAATGGAAGAAAGGACCAAAGTAATGGGATTGTCAAGAACTTTGAGTTATTAACAGGGTATGAGAAGCAGAAAGGAAGATGAACGAGACTGAAGAGGCTGAATGACTTCTGTAGCGAGAAGCCATATTAAGAGGATCCTCAGCAGCTCTGTGTTGCAGGAAGAAGGTGCAACACTGTTGGTTTGAAGGGACTGCCTTCAACTCTTGGACAAATGGACCCAATGGAAATTGTTAGGCATAGCAGCCAAGAAAAGTGACTTGTGGATGTGATTTCCCTTTGAGTCTTAAGGAGATCTTTAATTGATAATCCAGCTGAAATTGTTAGAATCAAGGCATTTCAAAAACAAAGAAGAGGGGGTGGGGGAAGACATGAGGGCCAACGTAAAATGAATAGCATTGTATTAATGTTTATTTCTAATTACAAGAAACAGAATATCAGTCCCTTATTTGTACAAAAATACCTGAAAGATTACAATTAGGTTCACAAGCCAAAAAGCTATTTACAGTATGAAGCAAAGCATACTGAATAATGGTTTTGTCTCTTAAGTTAATACCTTTTGCATTCCCTGAAAACTTTAACTTTATTCCATTTTACAGTCACTAAATCTTGCATTGTGACAATATAATTTACGATAAGCAAGTCTTGCCACTGGAAAGGTGCATTGATTGGTCAAACTGTCAGGTATTTAGTGCAGAAAAGATAAGACAAAACATCTAAACTGAGGCACGTGTTTCTTCAAGATTAATTAACAAATAAAAGTTTTTGTACTTTAACACCTATCATAACATAACTTAACTAGTAACTTTATTACCAAAATGGTTTGGCATTTTCCTTCTCAACATATTCAAGATTGCTACATGAAGTATTTATTTAGAAAATAAAATCACAGGCAAAAAAGATAAAAATTCAACAGGCTCCAAAACAACCCTGAGCATCCCCCTTTACATTCATGTCATTTAAATACAAAAATAAGAGTCAAATGTCCTTCAGTCCTTGGTATTCGGAGCTGGCAGCCAGCTGAATCTGCTGGAAAACTGTTAGGGTGGCACTGACCACTTTCCAGCAAAAAGAAGAAAAAGCAGTAACCTGCTCAAGTAAGATTTTTGCCACTTTGAAGGTGGTCACTTTCTCAAAACAGTTCACTTTAGCTGGGAAAGGTACAAAATACTAAGTCAGCCATCTACATACAAAATTATGATTCATAGCCCAACTTCTCAATTTAAATAAAAAGCAAGTTTTATAAATATGAAACACTGCACATTCTAACTGCCTATGGGAAAATGCATGGATTGAATTAAACTAAACTATGTAAACAGGAAAAAAAATAACTACAGCATAAATGGTCTTATTAAAAACTGGTAATGTAATCAACACAAGTGTCTTCTTCATCTAAGAGGGGCCAACAGAGGCATGCAGAGTGAAGTCTGAGACTTAAGTTAGCTTAATTTCAAGGTTTGAAAATACATTTTAACTGACTAAAAAGCAGGAACACTCAATTCAGTATGTACACTTAAAAAGGCTTTTTACTAAAAACTAAATCAAGTTTCTTCATTCTTATATGTAGACATTACATGGAAAAATACTAAATGTGTTCTGTAAACTAAAATACAGTGTTTCTATACCATTGACAAGAGAGATACAGTTGATATGGTTGACTCAGGCAGGTTATAGTTTGTCTTAAACTATTTTCAACACTACGTGAAGACCTAAGGGCATAAGATTGTTTCTTCTTTAGCCTTTCAGGTGGCTAGGATTCAGACTCAGTGGCAAATATTAGTTAGGATGAACTAGTCATAAACTAGGCTGTAGAA